ATTTTTCTATTTTTCATGTTTTTGAATTTTTTTTTTGGTTTTTTCTTTTACTATCCAGTCTAATGCTAAAGGAGAAACCTATTTTCTTCGCACCCATGGACGAAATAAGCTGATGTCTTCCAAATGGCAACAGTAAGTCCGTAGAAGCCTTCAAGATGGTCACCATCCTGTTAGCAGAAAGTGTATGGGTGGATTCCTAATTAAAAAGGTGAAACTGTACAGATGGATTGCTATGTATTTCTTAATTTGTTGATTTGGAATCTCCAATAGAATTGTTTACAAACATCGAAATTACATTGGGGAGTTGCTTAGAAAAATAATAAGTATTAATATGGTAAAATTCGAAATGAGAAGAGTAATTAGTTGTGTGGCATCCCGCCTGATGCCAATATGTGGATACAAATGGGAAAAAGCGAGAGAGAGTCTGCCCGTTTATTACCAGCTTGAGATACATGGCATGACCCACGGAAGAGATTCAAGGTTGGGCGCCCTCTTCCTCCTGCTGATTCCGACTCCAAGTGGCTTCACCATCGTCTGCCTGGAGATTAATTACACATAAACCAGCCGGCCAATCAGTCATCAGTAACATGATGTGGTTTTCTATATGGCGTGTTAATCAACATGATGTAGTGGTGTGTATGCACATACCTCTGCTAGGTCGGTAGCATTGTCGTCATCGTAATAATAATCTTCATCGTCATCGTCATCGTCATCGTCCGTGACAGCACTCTTGCCCGCCTGGATATCAATTAGACATAAACCAGACAGCCGGCCATCAGCAACATGATATATACACATGTATAAATACAGCGATCAATCGATCGATGCGATGGACAGTGGTATGTACGTACCTCATCCTGGTCGGTGCCTGCATGATCATGTAGCCAACTCTTGAATTTGGCAACAAGGCCACGTATCTCTTGTTGGCCGTACCTCCCGACCCGAGGCTCTCCAGCGTCACGTAGCCTTCTCTCGAGTGATCTAATCATGCGACGTATCCTTTCTTCCTGGTATGCAGCAGGACGGCCCACATCGTCGGGTCTGTCCAACCCACGTAGGATCCACTCGAGATTATCAATGAATTTACCTGCCTCCTCATCGTAGTTTTCTTTTTCTATGTCGACACCGAGATTGTGACGGGTTCTGGCGGCCTGCCTCAGCACTTTCTCCGCTTCCTTTACTTCCCTGTAGCTGCTGTTAGTGCAGTCAAGCCAACAGGCGACTGACTTCAGCAAAGGGCAGCTATTTCTCCCCCGCGGCACCAGGTTGGCAGCGTCCTTTCTTTCAACGCTTGCACTGTATACCAGCGCTTCAAGCATCGGCAATGCTCCTGCTCCAATGGCAATCTCTATCTTCTTCGTCCACAAGACTCTCAGCTTGTGAAACTCATTGCTGCCAAAAGTATATGATATATTCTTTTCATCGTTACTCCAGAGACCAAGGACGAGGAGGGACGGCAACCTGCCGATGGTTTCAACATCTCGAACTTCTACCGCATCCACATGCAACCATAGACGAGAAAGGAGTGGAACACTTAAATGATTGATCCATGATGGCACCCTCGGTATAACTATGCTAAGCAGACCTAACTCGTACAGCTTTGTACAGGGTGCCAAGTCTTCCAAGCTATGATTGAGGACAACTGAATACTCATCCTCATCACCAACATCCAAGACCGTCAGACTATGGATCTTGTGCAGCTTGCACAGAGAATCCATCAAAGCCTTGCCTGCAGACTCTATTTTACGGAAAAAGATCTTGAGCACCCTTAACTTTGTCAGCTTCCCCACCTCTGTGAAGAAGTTTGGGCACTTCTCCACCGAATGTAGCTGCAGTTCTTCAAGGCATGTCAGTTTTCCTATCTCGCCTTTCATCACAGTACCTAAATCAGCCCACAAGCACCTCAAATTCATTAGCTCACCAACAGATGGCGGCAGCTCACTTATTAAACACCCCCTTACATCCAATATCTCGAGAAACTTCAGATCATGTCCTATTCCTTCTGGGATCTTGACCGCTGTCTTCACTAGTCCCAGGTACCTCAACTGCACCAACTTACCGAGATGCTCAAGACTACTACCTTCTGAAAAAACACAGTCCTCAATAATTAGCACACGCAGTACTTTAAAGCACAAAAGCAGGGGCATCCTTTTAGCACTGCACCCAACAACATAAAATGACCTTAGGTGTTCCATGGCAATGCTAGAATTGTGTTCCGCACTTCTTCTGTGAAGTGCTAATCTGCGAATCCTATTGGTTTGTTGTCCTCGCGAACTTGTGCCATGCTGCTCCATATCATGTATTTTAACAAAGTTTATATCATTTGATATGGTGCGGATGAGATCGAGCACCATATCATGGACACGACAACCACCTTGCTCGTCATCATAGTCATCAATCCACCGGATCATGCTTTTGTTAATGAGCTCGTTGAAATAGATCTCCCCGAGCTCAAATGACCCTATACCTTCTCTATCTAGGATGAAACCTTCACAGACCCACCTCCAAATCAGTGTTTCTTTCCCAATCAAGCTATCTTCAGGAAACATGCTTAGATATAATAAACATGTCTTCAAATGGGAAGGCAGATCATAATAGCTAAATGACAATATCTTTCTTGTGTTATGAACAACTTTGTTGTCTTCATGCCCAAAACCAATGGCATCATACACCTTAGACCAATCCTCACATCGTTTACCAACAAGCAAGCTAGCTATTGTAATGATAGCTAAAGGCACACCACCACATTTCTTTAAAATTTTGTTAGTCACTTCGGGAGGTTGGTTATATGGACTTGCTCCATCGCCACCAAATGTTCTTGTATAGAATAACATTTTGGAGTTATCATCAGAAAGTGGTTCCATGCGGTAGATGCCACCAGCTTTTGTGGCAACATCAACATCACGAGTAGTTATGATTATTCTACTTTCTGGATGACTATCGATGAAAGCACAATTGATCATCTCCCATGTTTGTATATCCCATATGTCATCAATAACAATAAAGTACCTATTTGCATGATAAGGCAAAATCTTTAATTAGCAATAACTATCTAACAATAAAGTAACTACTAGAACAAGAAGCACCCCAACACACCAGAACTGAAAAGACATTAACAATCATAAAAAGATTATATCCTAGATAAATCTCAAACTTTTAATTTTCTTTTCCAATATTGGCCCTTCAAATATCTTTTTTCATCTGGCTAAATTATAGATAATTGGATGTGCATTAGTTAGTAGCAAACTTAGAGATAGTTGACAATAGAAGTAATCAATCTAACGACTCCATTAGTGTGATTGATGGTAATAATCTCAAACTTTAGCAAAGGAACAGAAGTGCCATGCGACCAACTGATCTACATTGACTTGGCAGTGGCTGATGCACTAGTAGAAAAACGACTTTACGTTCACACGATTAGTCCCGGTTTGATTACGGCCAGAGACTAATGTGACCATTAGTCCCGGTTCCAACGGCTAGGGGACAATCATCATTAGTCCCAGTTCGTTATGTACCTCTAGTACCGGTTTGTATCACAAACTTGGACTAAAGGGGTGGTGTCAGGCTGGTGTCAGACCGGGGCCCCCACGAACCCCTTTAGTCCCAGATCATGTCAAAAACCGGGAGTAGAGGTAGACCTTTAGTCTCGGTTTGTATAACCAACCTGGACTAAAGAGATCACTATATATAGTGCTTCGTCCAGCCCGAGCCCAAGCTCTCTGATTTTCCCCTTTCTCACCTATGTTCTTCCCCTTGCTCGAGTTCACCTCAATTTTTATTAAAGATTTGTCAACATTTGAAGGCACCCCATCCATCCAAGCGTTCACAAAGGTTAGCAACTTTGTCCTTTCATCTCTCATTGCTTGATTAGCTCGTGCAATTCTCTATAAGTATAGTGATTTGTGGGTTTTAGTATCGGAATAATTATATGCGAGAGTTATAATTGATTTATATGCAATTTGAGCTCAAATTAACTTCTTAGTTTGCATATGTAGGTGTGGTTTACTTAGTGCCTTCCCGTCCCCGTCCTAACCACCGTCGATCGTCTGCACCGTCCTGTCGTCGGCACTACCTTGGTGAGCCTCTTGTTCTTATCCTTTTTATGAAAAATCATGTTTGTCTGATTTACATAGTTACTTGTATAATTTTCATACCCGTACATTTTTTGTTATACATAGTGGCATGGTTTTGATATCCGTCCCCGTCGTCCCTCGTCCGGTTTATGATTCGGATGTGGTACATACATTCTCTTTTATAACTATATATTGCAATTCGTGTTTATGACAATTACGTCCATCAAGTTGACATAGATTTTTTTTTATCTAGCAGGTATGTGAACCGGAAATTGCAACCGACCCTCTTGTCAAGAAGTTAAATTCAGTTGAAAAAGAAAACAAGTATTTGAAAGAAAAATTGAAAAGAATTGAAGAAGAGAAGATGAAACTGGAGTTGTATGTTGTCGATATCGTCGATGATTACAAGATCAAGATGGATGCAATGCGCTTGAAGATTAGAAAGATTAGAAAATATGCCGTTAATAAAGAGGCTTGGTATCACTATGTTGTTGGATCAATTATTACCTTAGTTGCGATCTTGATCGCATTTGTTGTTGCATTTAAATGCTTTAGCTAGTGAGTTTGTATGTTGTTTTATGAGAATAAGTGTGTTGTGCAATGAAGATGAGCCGACAATGGATGTATGATGACCAATGCTCTCCCCAGTTCATTAATGGCGTGCATATTTTTCTGGTTGCGGCTGAGGGAAACAAGCGGGCGGATGGTTTTATGTGTTGTGCATGTGTTGTCTGTAAGAATGATCACAATTACTCTAAATTAAGAACCATTCACGTCCACCTGTTTACATCCGGTTTCATGTCCGGCTATAACTGTTGGAGCAAGCACGGAGAAAGAGCGGTCCTAATGGAAGAGAATGAAGAAGAAAAGGATGATGACAGCTATCCTGGCAATGGGTTCCCTGAATACGATGGTACAACAATGGGGGAAGAAGCGGAAGAAGAGGCGTTAGATGAGCCAGTTGATGATCTTGGTCGGGCCATTACCAATGCAAAGAGAAAGTGCGCAAGTGAAAAGGAGAAGCTGAAGTTGCAATGCATGTTAGAGTATCACAAGAAATTGTTGTACCCAAATATGTGAAGATGACAAGAAAAAGCTGGGTACCACACTAGAATTGCTGCAATGGAAGGAAGAGAATGGTGTATCTGACAAGGGATTTGAAAAAGTTGCTGATAATATTAAAGAAGATGCTTTCAAAGGATAACGAATTGCCCGATAGTACGTACGAAGCAAACAAGGCTGTCTGCCCTTTAGGATTAGAGGTGTAGAAGATATGAGTATGCCCTAATGATTGCATCCTCTACCGCGGTGAGTACAAGGATTTGAATGTATGCCCGGTATGCGGTGCATTGCGCTATAAGGTTAGCCGCGATGACCCTGGTGATGTTGTGGGAGAAGCCCCAGGAAGAGAATTCCTGCCAAGGTGATGTGGTATGCTCCTATAACATGAACTTGGCAGTGGCTGACGTGTGTGCAGCTAGTATAGAGTGAAGTTCGGATCAAGCAGGTGCGCAGCTTGGCCGTGAGTGTGGGCGTATATGTGTGCATGTTTCCTACTAAACGCCTTGTAATCAGTTGACCTCAAGAGCATGAGGAAGAAGGGAACAGGGAAAATGCACAAGCTGTATGTGTTCATCCTCTTGAGTTGCACAAGCTGTACCTTGTCCAATAATTTGAATCAGAAATTTCTATGTATGAAAAAAAAAACTAAAAAATGTTGCCTATGCATGTTATAGTTGTGGAGTAGATGAATCGAAAGCAAAATATATATGTCCTTCATAATTTTTTGGCCAAAATATATATGTCAGGCAGATTAATTAACCACGCACATACTAATTATTTTCATTGACATGTCGCTACAACACAAAGCCTTTAAATCTAGTTGGGCACAGGTGGCAAAGAGAAGTTATTGACTAGCACTAGCATAGGGATGAGGTTAATGTGTACCTCCTGTCCTTTAGGAATTTTTGTAGCTCGTTTATCAGCTGTCGTTCATCCATTGTTGCTGCATCTCTGTACAGCTGCCTGTCAAGTTCAAGGAGGATATCCCTGAGAACTTTCTTCGTGTCTGGATTTTGACCCACCAGAACAAAACCTCCACAACTAAATTTCTTGTTAAGCTTGTTATACACCGCTTTAGCAAGAGTTGTCTTGCCCAATCCTCCAAATCCAACAACAGAGACAACCTTGAGCCTATTCCCAGATGAATCATCGCCCTCAAACAACCTCTTTGTTAGTTCATCAATCGCCTTGTCAATGCCAACAATGTCAGAGACCTTGCTGTACATGGCCAAGAGACGTGGGTCGACTTCCGTTCTCGCATTAGTATTACCAATAACATCTTTGTACCTGTCATACCTATCCTTCACCTCTCTAACTTGGATCTTGATGTCTCTGATGTCATTAGCAATTTCGTGACGAGTCTTGAGCTTGGTGACCTTTTTGCATGTCTTCTTGATGAACCCGAGGAAGGTGTGTGGCTTAGTCGGCTCAAGACCCTCGACACGCACCATGAAGGAGTCGAGGCTGTCCTCAATAGCAAAGGACAGCTCCCTGACATCGTTAGCCCAAATCTTGACCAACGGATCAAGCTGGTCTAGTGGCACGTCAGACACCTTCACAAGTGCAGCTTGTATAACCAGGAGCTCGTCCCTCAAGTCCTTGATTCCCTTCTTCAGACCCGTGTGCAGGTTGTACTCCTCCAGGAGCAGCTCCCCCAGCTTGGGGAGGAGGGTGCCCAACGCTCCAGTGGCGAACTCCATGGTGGCCGGCAGACACTCACCCTCTCCCGGATCCCACTTGGTAGCTTCTTTCTTGCCCTCTCCCGCCTCTATATCAAGATGCAATGAAGAAGGGGATTGTTACAACAGTAGCCACTAGCCAGGCAGCTACTTCCTCTGTTCACTAATATAGGACGTTTTACACTAACCAGTGACCCTATAAGTCTCTCAAACGTCTTATATTAATGAAGAGAGGGGGCAGATAAGATGGAAGGAAAAGTGAGAGGAAAGAAGTTAAACCTGCACAGTTTCTCTACACCAAGGCAGAGCGGAGACGGCCGAATGCAACGGAAGGATTCGGCTCTGTTGCTCCGTCACGGCGGCGAGAGGTTGGAGCAAGGGAGATTTGATTTGATTGGATTACCGTGGAGCCGAGCTCGTTCCGAATCCGACTGGGCTCGCGTGGCTGCTCACGTGTTCTTGCGGTGGATGGACGAAGTATGGTTTTAAAAGGATGACGGTCTCAGCATTACAAATGAAGGCTTAAGCCAAGGTTGTGGATAACAGTGAACGCAGAGTGGAGGGAATACTAGTTTTCTTCTCGCTCACACCACAAATTAATCATTCCTTTGTGACAGTGACAGTACATCCGCAAGTGGCAGCGGTATCAATTCTGTGCTTTATAAAGTGATGTATCCTCCCACGTTCATATAGCTTTATAAAGTGCAGAATATATCCTCCACTTACATAAAGCCTAATGATTCCCGTCTGCCTACCAATCAGTAGCGCAGAATATATCCTCCGCTGTTTCATCCAGACAAGCAGTAGCATAGAATTATGCTGTTAAGCCCCTTTGTCACACACGCTAACGCTACGTGAAAACTTTATGTGATATATGCGTATTTTCACACACGGTTGGGGAGTTAGAAAATGCCAACCCTGTGGGATTTTTCGACAAAGCGTGAATCTTCTTTACACAAAATGAAATATCAAGTGGATAAAAACACTATGAGCACACATTCGGCCTCTCCATAGGTAGGATACATGGCAACACCTTCAAAAAGGGAGCGACAATCAAGCCCCACTGTCACCAGACTAATCACCAAAGGCCAGATGTTAGGTTTTCACCGTAAAGAACCATCCAAGCATATCCGAGCAATGCCAAGGTTTTCACCCCGGAGCTCGTCGAAGTTAATCATGTGTTGTCCATGCCACTTTTCTGTGATCCCTACAGCTACATGCACTGGGTTAGAGAGCCGACCGCCGTCGCCACACAACCATACCGCTGCGTCAAGTCATCATCCATAGATTGCATCTCACCGCCGAGGCAACCACCGGATCTCGAACGAGGAACCCTCACGAAGATCTTTCGATGGCCACCGCAATCTACGGCAAGGTCACGGCCACAACCACATCTGATGTCTTGCACCCGATTTTTTTTTCAAAAAGATGGTGAGTTTGTAGCGCCTAGCATGATTTCTGCAAGAAAATTGACTATGATATAGCGAATATCGCACACGACTATAAAAACGCAACAGTGTGAGGTGCCTTGCAAATGGTTTTCACAAATATGTAAGTGTGTATCATGTAGTCTACCATCAGACACAACTAGAAAACACAATTGTGTGTGATGTCTTACACACGGTTTATGCATGACAGTTTCAAGGCAAATGACACGTTTGACCTTCAAACTTTTGCTACACTAAACATGCAGAATAATACCTTTCATGTCCAAATTTGGCATTGTTTTAGGTTTGATTTGCTATATTTCAGTCATTAAGTAGATTTCTAGGCATTTAATGCATATAATAAATTTAAACCACAAGTACATCATAATAGTGAACGAAAAAGTTAAAAACAAAATCATAATTAGGGCCTTGAATATATTTCAATGCCTTAGCCAAGAACTGAAAAAGAGTTTGTCTATGTTTTGGTGGCAAGACTTAAAGCACAAACATGAAAATTATTTGTTTTCCATTGATGATTAGCATTCTAAATAGCAGAGCGCAGAGTTAGTAAAAAGGAAAAAAAAGGGTAAGCAAATCCACCCGTTGTGGCTTCATGTTGGGTGATCATACTGTGCTACTGATTAAGTTGCAATGGCAGTAGTAACCAGGACCATGAATGCCAATTATCTACTAACATTTTCAACTGTACTATGTTCCAATGTTTATTTTGATAAGGCTATATATGATCAGTTTGTACTTTGTACGGTATAACAAATACTTTACTCTGCCTATCCGAAACTCTTCAGTCACAGCAAAAGGAAGAACATCATCCTATCCCAGGGCCTGGCTAACAGAATTTGGGTCGGTTTGATCATGCCCTAACCCCAGCAAAGAGGTGCTTAGGGAGTACCTAGACCTAGGGCACAGACCTGCACTGCCGGCTCTATCTGATGCCGGAGATAACTTTTTTTGGAAATGGACATCGAATAAAATATACTTACTCTGCAAGTTCAGCTTACCATTGCCAGTTTATTATAAGGGTTCAGAGTCAGACGACCCATTCGCACATCATTTGGAGATTAAGATCCCTGAAAAGTGAATTTCTTTGTAGGCTAACCATATACAAGGAAAATGCCTAACTTCAGTTAATCTCGCCATGAGGAATTGGACTGCCAATCCTGTTTTCCCACTGTGTAACATAGGCTTCAAGTCTGCTGTGCTGCTGTTTGCAACTTGGCCATTTACTGCTGCTGTCTGGGGCTACTTTCTGACCATAGCCAAGAATCTATTCCAGGCAACGTTTTTGCTTCAAGGTTGTTCCACTTGTGTGAAAGTGACCCTTGGTAAGTTTGGATGTGACACGTGCTATTATTTTGGTATATGGCTGTGTAGAAATGAGTGGTGTGCCTAGGATTGGATTTGAAATTTTTTGAACGTGTGTGCAAGTTGGTTTGGTTGGTTTGGTAATTTTTGTTGGGTGTGTCCCAGACTTTTGCGGTGGAGTTCACGTTTTTGGCTTCGATGCTTTTTCTGGTTTTTGATTGGCCGCTGTTCGTGCAGATGTCCCGTCGCTGTCGACCTCTGTTGCCCGTCGCTATCGATTTTTCGTTCTTGGGTTTTTTTGTCCTGTCGCTGTCGATTTTTATGTTGGCCCAGATCGCTTTCTGATTTTCTATTGGTTGTTGGGTCGTGTAGCACCTGTCGCTGTCGCTGCGCGGGTGCCGCTTCGTTGTGTTGGTTCGAGAGCCTGGTAGATCCGTTTATGCGGTTGTAGATATTCTTTTGGTTGGTATGTGCTGGCTGTTAGGGACATCGACACGTGATTGGCCCTTCGAATGTGTACAAGCTGCGTGTTCTATCTGGAAAACTCGAGCGAAAGCCTCCACCGTCTCACGCAGCCGTGCCACCTCATCTCACTGTACGCGCCTGTATAAAAGGCTCTGCCCCATCGCTTTTGGATCTCACCAATGTGTTTGCCGCACCTCACCAAACTAGCTAGCCCATGTCCGACCTCGCCGCCGGACCGCGTCTTGCCGGAGCTCCCATCGTTCGGTCTCCATCGGCTGCCATCGTACCCGGATAGCGTCCACGCCATGCGGAGGCTCGCGTGGAGAGCACGATTGGGGAGAGGAGGCAATGGTGGCGTGCATATGGGCGTCATAGCGAGGCAGACCTCAAGCCGCGGCGTCTCGGCTCAAGCTCGCTCCCGCCTAGCAGGCCATCGGCCCCCTGCAGTCGCATGTCGGCTGGGCATACGTCGATCCGAGCAGCTTGGACAGGCGTGCACCGCCACGTGTTGTGCGCTTGACATGGCGATTGCGTGCACCAACATGATCATGGCATCCACGGCGACGCTGGTGGTCCCGTAGTGCGTGGGGTGTCATAGTCCATGGGCGCCTGCACCAATATCACGATGGCGTCCACGGCGAGGTGGTCCCGTAGTGCGTGGGGCGGCAGAGTCCATGGGCGCCGACGCCGCGGAGTGCGGTCAGCCGAACACCTCGTCGCTGCCGTCGGCGGTTAAAGCCAGGCCCCCGTTGTCATCCTCACCATCACGGCTGCCGCCGCCACTGGTGAATTCATCGTCTGCACACAATTCATGATCACAATGGCCATCAGCGGAAGACATGGACATGCGCCCGTCGCCGGGGTCATTCCCTTGGAATTCAGGTTGTTGTTATTAGTCGTCTGTGTCATGATCGGGGTGGTACTAATGGACGGGTTCGTCATGCGGCTCTGCGGTGTTCTGTTGCTGCCCATGATTCTTCAGGTGCTCTTTTGTCCTGGGCGGGTCCGCGTGTGGGTCGTCGGAGCATTGTCCGCTCGATCAATTCTTCTGTTGTTGGTAAGTTTGATTCGACTCATGGTGTCCATTGATGCTGAGGACTTGCAAAATTGTTGAGGGCGTTGTTGGAGTCGGACAGAACGTGTCGTCGTTCTCCCCTCCCGCCGCCGGAGCATGCTTCACTAGCTGCATATGTCACTTTGTGCCGCCGTCGGTGAAACCGCGCTAAGCGATCTGGTGCGGATCAAGAAGCACTTCTGGTGCAAGCATGGTAGTCAGCGGTAGTGGATGTGCGCCCGCTGCGCCAAGGACTACATCGTCCGGTTCGGTTACAAGGCACACCTCAAGAACTGCCGCACCCCACGGTCACTCCTGGGACTGTGGTCGCATCTTCTCCCGATCGCTACACCCATCGAGCCAGAAAAATATATAGGAAACAGCTGTCGCATGCATGTAACCAAACCATGCATGCATGCAGCCACTGCATGCAATCACGTCCCCACATTCTAGAAACCAACCACCCGGCAATTCTTGGTCGAAGTAATCAAGCCCCGACGTAGTCACATCACCTCCACATGCATGCAGCTGACAGCAAATATTAATAAAAGTTCCAACGGTATATGCAAAGGGATGTCAAACAGACCATCAATAATTCCTACACACAGCCAGAGAATACCCAGCCAAATCCTGAATTAAAGCACGTGTCAGCTGTATATTAGCACAATCAACACATAAAAAAACTTCTGAGAATCTACAAAACATAAACCCTCAGATGAGCATCATGGGATGCTCTCTGGCTGAAGTACGAA